ATGAAGAGTCTTGAACATACAATGGACTGCCAAGAAAATAAGTAAGTCTATTTTGGAGAGGGTGAAACCAAGTTTCTCCTTGGAGGCTGGGATTTTGAAGCTCTGTCTCACATACTTTGAGCACATGGCCAAGAGGGACAGATCCTTGGAGAAGGACATCATGCTCAGAAGGGTGGAGGGGCAGCAGAGGTGGGGAAGAACCCAAAAGAGATGGACTGATATTGTGACTGGGGCAACTGGACAATGAGGATGGGTGTGTCGAATGTCAGTGAGACTGGCTCTGGACAGGGCAGGCTTCACAGTTTAGAGGGAGCTCTGGTGGCCTAGTGGCAAGAAGCTGCACTGCAATCCCAGAGTTTAGTATGAGTCACGGGCAACTCGACAGCACATCACCACCAGAATCAATTTCAGGATTTTAAAAATCCATGAATATCCCCTCATCCAAAGCAGAGAGTAAAGAAAATCATCAAAGGCATGTAGAAACAATTGATCCAAAGGAGTAACGGACAAGAACCTCAGCCTCCAACACCTTGAGACTTGAACTAGACTGTCTGGCTATCACTACCTAAACGCTACTGAGCTACTGGGGTTCAATTATAAGGTCACAGATAGAGTAGAAGAAAATGTGGAACAAAACTAACAAACTCACTGGTGTCAGGTCACAACTCACAGCTGATTCTCCAGCAAGTGTTTGGAGGCTATATCAATCACAGGAGAGGAAATGACCAATCTTTCTCAGAGCTGCTGGTGGATTGAAAGTGCTGGAGAGGGACAGCTTTGGGTTAGCAGTACAACTCTACTGACTACATCACCAGCGTTCCTTCAAAAACTAAAAAAAAAAAAAAAAACCAAACCAAAAAAAACAGGCTTTTTTATTGGAAAGGAACTGATGGGTACACAGAGATTATTGCCCTTATTCACCTTTTAGGCCTGGCACTGAACTCAGCCCTGTAGCTCAATTTTCATGCAAACAACATACAGGCTAAAGTGAAACTCCTTACAACTTTGTCCAAGAACAAAGTTCAGAGGGCAGGAACAGTGAGGAAAGAAGGAAGAGAAAGAAAAACAATGGGAGGACTCTGTTACATTGTGTGCATTACAATCAATGTCATGAGGCAAAATGAGTAAGAACTGGTGAATGGAAAGACCAATCTGCTCTGTAAACTTTCACTTAAAATGTGTATAAACTGTTGAGTGGAAAAGTTGAGTGGATCTGCTCTATAAACTTTCCTCGAATTCACAACTGAAAACTCTATGAATAACATAGTCACAAAACAAAGAAAACAGGCCATTTTTCTATTAATAGGAGTTTGTGTGGTTGTATATAGAAGGCCCAAATCTGTATATGTCCAAATCTGTATATACAAATAAGTCACCAAACCAGTAACCATTACCAAACTAATTATCAACACCAGACAAAAATGATAAAGAAGCAGCTCCTCTCTTGAGACATCATCTACAGCAATTTAAACTACTTATTCTTATTAAATTCTCAATGATAGCTTAGCTCTGTCTATCTAGGGTTATGAGATTTCAAGTCGCACTAGTTAAATCCTCTCTCCAAAGCATAAATGCCATGGCCAGTATATACAAATGATAATAAAGTCTCTAAAGAATATCATTCTTGGAGAAGTAGGTCAGTGAAAGGAAGACCCTCAACAAGATGAACAGACACACAGGGTTAGAACAATGACTTTCACAACACAGATCTGTAAGGATGGTGCAGAATCCTATGGGGTTTCAATCTGTTATAAATTGGGTGACTATGAGTTGGAGCTTACTTGAGGGCATCTAACATCAATCTTTCAAATCTCATGGTAGTTAAAAAGCTCAGCTGCCATTAAAGACGCCAGCAGTTCAAGCACACTAGTAACGCCTCAGGAGAAAGATGTGGCAACCAGGCTCTATAAAGATTTACAGCCTTGGAACAACTCCTGAGACAGTTCTATCCTGTCCTACAGGCTCCCTATGAGTTGGCGTTGACTCAGCAGCAACAGATTGGGAGTTCTGGCTTTAATCTATCATTAAAACAATAGCACTATTCAAGGTTCTCGTCTAAAAATCAAGGTGAAATTGAAACCACTGTTGTCAAGTTTATTCTGACCCATGATGACCCTACACTGAGTTTCCATCAACTTTCGGACTATAAATCTATCATTTCAGAAGAGACTGACCATCTGTCTCCCAAAGAGCACCTAGTGGACTCAAAAGTACTGACTTTGTGGTTAGTAACTCAACTCTTAATGCCCTACACCAACGACCCTTAGGGTGAAATGCAGCCCCTCATGGATGTGGAGTGGGAACAGACTCAAAGCTCACCCTCTTCTAGCAAGTTTTCAGAGAATGTCCATTTTTCTCCCAAGAAGCAGCTGGTACATTAGAACCTTCTGCCTTGGGGCTGGCAGAGCAACGTTTTACCAAGTAGACCACCAGAGCTCCCTGGTGAATGAGTCCCCCCTTAAATACTTTTTACCCCTGTGATACATCAGATCAGAGATTGTGCACTATGTGCTATTTGAAGCCCTAGGAGAGCTTAGCTTCCTAAATTATCCTCAGGGTATCACAGGAAAATTTCCGGGAACAACTGAGGAGCTAGAGGTCCAAATGATCCTGACTGGTCCTACCTCAGGCCCCATGACTGAGCACACTGTGGCAACATTACTACTGGGCAACCCTCAGCCTAGTGGGTAAGGAGTCACACCGCCAGGCCAAAGGCCCGCAGTCTGAATCCACAAGCTGCTCCCAGGACAAAGGTGGGCAGTCTCCTCCCATGCAATTTACAGCCTCTGAAAACTCACTGATGGGTCAGTTCTGAGTCAGTTCAGACTCCACAACAACAAATCTTTTAGATTTATACAGGTATCTTACAGAGGCTTAAGCACAAGATATAAATGGGTATGGCAACTAAGCATCACAATATATCTATAGTTAAGAAAGTCTGCCCTTTTCTTATTATCATGGTTTGTCAGTGCCGGTTTTTTTGTTTGTTTTTTTAAAAAATCTAGTTTCTGGGAACAGTTATCTTTTTGTGTGTATTATTTTACTTTTACAACTCTCACTCCCAAGGCAAACAGATAACAGCTGTCCATCTGATCAGTACCAAAGTTTGTAATAGGCTGGTCTTGTCTTCTCTATGCCTCGTAACTGACAGACTTGACTGGGAGCTGATATCCCCACCTCTGTTGAGTTTCAGAGGCTGTAAAGCTCATGGGAGGAGATTGCCATCTTTCTCCCCGGAGCCATTAGTGGATCCAAACTGCCAAAAAGCACTGCCTTTGAGTCAGCAGCACAGTCTCCAAATTCCACCATCAGAGCTCCATTTTATTAAATATACGCATCAAGGCTGTACTTTCAGGGATCATTTCTCTAGTTCATTAAATATATGCATTTAAATGAGTTCGTCAAATGCAGGCAAGCTTCTTTTTTTTTAATTTTTTTTATTATTTTATTATTTTTGTGTGCGTGTACCGTCAAATCAGATCTGACTGGTACAGGAGGAGATTGTCCCTCCTTCCCCGGCAGAGAATCTGATGGATTCGAACCGTGCGCCTCTGGGATTATAGTTGCTGCTCTTTGCCACTAGGCCACCAGAGCTCCCCATCAAGCTTCTATTAGTAATCCCTGCCACATCAATCTGCACAATTCCTACTACTACGTTTGGAAACTAACACTTCTAAATAAAGTCATTTGTGACTTGTACTCTGACAACTAGAATCAGGAAATAAGCAGTAAAGTTTCAGAAACATTTGCTATGATCTACTTCCTCGCGTGTGAAAGAGACAATCATCAGAAATATCAAGAAGTTGTTGAATCTGAAATGTCACTGACACTTCCCAACTTCAGAAGTCGCTATCAACCCAGCCCAGCACCATGTCCGTTTCTAAGAAAATGGTACACTAAATAGTAACCTTAACTGTCTCACTGTCACGAGGAGGACCATAAGACTCCATAAAGTTGTAGCAACAGTGACAGAAAGTCTCTGTTCTTCAAACCACCTGTAAAGGTGATGTATGGCTTTTTAAGAAAAAAAAAAATTTTTTTTAGGAAGGGCACAGACACCTGAGGATGTTTGCATTATCACCATCACTCTGACCTTTACCCAGTGGGCAAAGTGATTGTTGTTGGAAAAGCCCTATTTCCAGGCTAACGAGGATCCCTTCCTTTTTGTTGGTTGGGTGGAGCATTGACACACGCTTCCTGTACAAACAGGGGAGTTAGTTTTGTTCTTTTTTGTTTGTTTGTTTTATCTCAAGAACAAATGACAGGATAACAAAAAGGAGAAGAAATTAAATCGCCTTTGTACTTTTCTTCTGTTGGCCTGCAATCAAGCTCTGTCTTGAGCAGATACCTCCAGAGGCTCTCTCCTGGCTCTCAGCCTGTCCACGTCTCCATGTGTGGTCAGACGTCTCATGGGCAGTCAAACAGACACCCTATTTCCGCTCAGTGGCGACCTCACTCTCACACAACCGCTCACATCAACAGAGGACAACTTCTAAGAGCCCATATTCCCCAACTTCTCCATCAAAGCCCCAAACTCTAGTCGCTTCCCGCCTCTGCTCTTTCCAGCAGCTCGCAAAGCTCCTCCACTAGGAAGGAGGGGTGGGCTAGTTGCTTTAAAGAGGTGGGCAGGCCGTCGCTGCCTTGCCTCAGTTTCCCTTGTCATACAAAGAGGCATCTTTCCCCTGGAAGTCAAGCGGAGCTGGCAGCTGGTAAAGCGGTTGGCGATATTTAAAGACACGCATCTCCTGTTACAACCTCCAAGGTGGAATCTTTGAGGGCACTTGTAATGGGACAGGTGTGGGCTGCCCTGAATGCGGACTATCCCAAAGAGGAAGGAGCTCTCTCCCTCCCGAGGGGCGTCCCAGGCCGCGCCCCGCACAGAAGAGACGCCCCAAGACCCAAGCTGGGCGGGGCCAGAGGTCAAGGAAGACCCGGGTCCCTCTCCCCGAGCCCTCCCCAGGCTGGGCGCCCCACGGATCCCAGCGCCGTCGCCTTCTCACCTGCCGCGGCTTCCAGCCCGACCCGCACCTGGGAAGGGAGGGGACGGGCCGGATTCGGGCCGCGGACGCCTCAGGCAGGCAGGCTCCGGGCTCCGCCGCGGTGGCGTCTCCGGAGCTCAGGGGCACCGGGGGGCGGTCGCGACATCCTCACGGGCGGCCCCAGGAAGTCGGCCCCCCCACTCATCCCGGGTCGACCGGTCCCAACCGCTCCCGCCCCTCCCGCGGCCCCGCCTCCGGCGCGCCCCGCCCCTTCTCGGGAGCGCGCCTCCGCTCCCGCCGCGCCGGGCCACCATAGAGAGGAGCGAGGCGCGCTGCGGGCTAGAGCGCGCCCCCGTGCGCGCGCGCCCCCTGGCGGAGCCGAGGCTCGGGGAGGTGGGGCCTCCGCCGACGCCCAGCTGGAGCAAGCTGTTGGCCATGGTCCTGAGCTAGGATCTAGGATCCAGCTTGATGACTTTTGCTAGATAGAAAAACAATTGAGGACGAGAGAGAGAAAGACAGAAACTGGTCCCAAGAAATGCACAGGCCTTCATTGCATGGCCTAAGGGGGACGCCAAGTGACCACCAGCAGAGGTCAAAATGGAGTTGAGAGTGGTCTAAGGCGGCCTCTTTTTATAGAAGTTCTAGGAGAGACTCAGGAAGATGGTATTTTGCTCGGAATCTGGGGTTGTTAATTAACTTGGGTTTGGGCTTTTGTGATCAGGCCCAGACCCTTATCAGAATCTATTGTCTGGTTTGGTCTTTGGTCTGGTTTCTGGTCTGGTGTTTGCTTTGCTTTCTGCTCCAGTCACTTTAGATGTTACCAGTTTTCTCAAGGAGTGATCAGGCTGGGGGCAACTGCTACATTTTTCTTCCAAATTTGAGCGAGTTCCTTAACATCTCTGAATCATAATAAAGTTTTTAAGTTGTTTCACTTTTCTCTCTCATTATTGCTCAGGAGAATGCGAGGAGCATGTGATGGTTTCCCCAGTTCACAAATGAGAAAACCCAAGCCCAGTGACCCTGGGGTTGTTGGGTGAAAAGTGCTGTTCAGTGAACCTTGAAGCACCAGAGGAACATGGTGGATCATTAACCGGAGTGGGCTACAATGCCTAGTCATGAAAATGATTGTTATTGTTGCTGTTATGTACCATCGAATCAAAACCGACCCACACAGTCGCTGGCTGAAAATCACCTGTGACTTCATCCATAGCCACTGGTGAGAGTCAGCGCCCAGAGCCATCAGGGGCTTTAAGCTCGATGCCCACTGCTGTGGTGTGGACAGCTGAAACCCAGGCCCCAGCAGGCACCTGGGGGGGGGGGACCCAGACTCTACTTCATGCTCTGCTGGAGAAGGAGGGGCAGTCTCCTGTACCAGTCAGATCCAATTTGACGTACACACACACACTTTTTCTTCTTCTTTTTTAAAAAAAGACTACTTCAGCCGTCACGACCCTCTGCCCAGGGCGGGCTGCCCTCGGCCCCCTGCCCGGGGCGAGCTGTCGCGGCCCTCTGCCCGGGGCGGGCTGCCCTCGGCCCTCTGCCTGGGGTGAGCCATTGCGGCCCTCTGCCCGGGGTGGGCTGCCCTCAGCCCTCTGCCTGGGGCTAGCCGTCGTGGCCTTCTGCCCGGGGCGGGCTGCGCTTGGCCCCCGGTTCGGGGCGAACCGTCATGGCCCTCAGGAGCAAGAGGCAAGCAGCTGTAACCCAAGACCACCAGTAAGGTGATAAAGCGTCCTCCCTTCCCCCCTTTATATCTATGCCCCTGTTCAGCATGAAGGAGCCAGAGAGTCGGCATCCAATTCCCAAATCAATAAGACAGTTGGTTTAATTACTATTGGAAAATGCTTGTCATTCCTCTGTAGCATCTGGTCCCCACTGGACCCTCATCATTTCCTTCACCTGCTCCCCCCACCAACCAAACTGTGCAGCTCTGCAACTGCATCCTGGACCATCCTCACCCTTCTGCCCTCACCTCCTTGTACCCCCAATATGTTTTTCCCAATAAAAAAAATATTAAAAAATAAACAAACAAACAAACAAACAAAAAAAAACGACCCACAGCTGATGCTCCAGCAGGTTTTAGGCACAGGATGAGGTTGTCCATGCTTGGCCCTCAGAGCAGCGGGTTGATTCCAACTGTGTGGCTATAGGTTGGCAGAGCATCTCCTTACCACTAAGTCATCAGAGTTCACTCTGAATGGTATTAATTCAATTTATTCTGTCTTGTATTTGTTTTTAGGGGTCATATAGTTGGTTCTGACACAGTATGTTCCTGTACAAAGGAATGGAACAAGGCCCATCTCTGCCCCATCTTCACAATTGCTCCTGTGCCTGAACTCATTGTTGCAGTACTCACCGTGTCACTCTACCTTATGTCAATCTACCTTGTTGTGGGTCTTCCTCTTTTCCACCAAACAGGTCTTTTTCTACACACTCTGGTGTGTGTTGTTAGGTGCCACAGTCAGCTCTGCTTCATAGCAACCCTAAGAATGCACTGAAATCTTGCCTGCACCACTCTCACAATCTCTGCCACACCTCAAGGCTGGAGGAAGAATGTAGCAGATGCCCCCAGGCCTGATCACTCCTTGACAGAAACCTGATAACATCTAAGGCTGCCAGATCAAAGACTAGACCAGACAATGGATCCTTATAAGGCTCTAGGCCTGATCATAAAAGCCCAAACCCAACTTAATAGCCCCAAATTCCCAGAAAAACACTCTTTCCTGATCCTCCCTAAACACACACCCTCCCCCCCCCCCATAAAAAGAAACCACTCTTGACTGCCCTCCCTCCCGCCAGTTTGACTTTCTCTGCTTGTGGTCACTTGGCATCCCCCTCAGGCCATGCAATGAAGGCCTGTTCTTTTCTTGGGACCAGGCTTCTTTCTTTCTCTCCCTTGCCCTCAAATCTTTTTCTAACAAAGGCCACCAGTGTTCAATGATGCTTCATTTTCTTATGATCGTATTTTAAGATTTTAACTGAGACCTTCTAGAATTCTTCTGAGCAGTTGTATTCTAAAACAGTAATTTATTTCAAGGAAAAGTCATGTAAAAATATTTATACATCAGACTGTCATTTTACAAGTATTATTTCCAGTCTTCACAAACCAGCCAACTGAGTACTATTATTACCATTTTGTCAATGAGGATCTGAAGGTTAAATTACCTAAAGCCTCACAGAGTTAGACAAAGGAAGCCATGGAATCTGAAACTTGTTCTTTCCACTGAGGGATATACAGAAAGACAATCTTCAGAGAAAGGCCTTCTTGAATCAAAAATGCCCATCTTTTTCCTACCTGTAACTTTCCTTGATGTAATTCCCCTCTTCCCTTGGTTCTTCCTATGATTTTTTTAAATTATTATATTTTGTGTGTGTACCATCAAATCGGGTCTGACTGGTACAGGAGGAGATTGCCCCTCCTTCTCCAGCAGAGCATCTGGTGGATTTGAACTTTGTGCCTCTGGGATTGCAGTGCAGCTTCTTGCCACTAGGCCACCAGAGCTCCCTTGTCATTCTTTATCTTCATAACGGTACTATCTTTTTAGACTCCCAGGTTCCATTTCTCTCCAAACGCCAGAGCCTACCTAGTTCATCCTCTCCTCAATCTGAAATGGACTCAGAACCTGTGATTACAGCATAGCATTTTCCTTCTCACCATGTTGATTGCCTTCACAGCAGCTAAATCCTCCAGAACAATGCTGGAGTGAGAGCTCCGTCTCACTCCTGTGGTTTTTTGCTTGACCCTTCTTTTGTAAATTTAGTTTACAAACCAAGTGCTCAGGTCTGAAAGGGAGTGCATTCAATCTGCTAATGGGACCCAATAACTACTGTACTCATGAATCATCAAAAACTTGCATTATGAGAGGACTCAACTTTGCCTACTGCAAGTGAGGACACTTGGCTACAGAAGATCAAGAATTACTGCCTTCAATATGGATTATATCTCAAGAGAAAAATCCTCATCACTGGACCAACAGACAATATCATGATTGCTGGATAAAGGATTAAAACTCTCAATGATTTCATCTTACTTGAATCCACAATCAACATACTTGGTATCAGCAGTTAGGAGATAGACATATTGCTTTGGGCAAGTCTGCTGTCAGGGACCTCTCCAAAATTTTTAAGAGTAATGATGTCAGTCTGAAGACTAAAGTGTGCCTGATTCAGACTATGGTCTTGTCAATCACTTGCTATGCATCTGAGAGCCGGACAATGAATAAGGATGACAGAAGAACTGACACCTTTGAACCCTGGTATTAGAGAAGAGTACTGAACATCCTATGCCAAAAGAACAAATACATATTGAAAAAGTGCAGCCATAATGCATCTTGAAGGCAAAGATGCCTTCATCTCTCACACTATGGACGTGTTGCTAGGAGAGGCTATTCCTTATAAAAGGATATCATACTCTGAAAGACAGAGGGTCTGTGAAAGAAGACTCCAAATGATATGGGTTGACATGGTGACTGCAGCAATGGTCTCAAGTGTATCAGAGATTGTGAGGATGGCACAGGATAGGGCAGGATTCGGGTCTGTTGTTCACAGGGTCAGTAAGAGTGGCACTGGACTCGATGGCATCTAACAATAACACTCATGACATCCTGCAGAAATCCTCTTCCGGGGGGTGCCTTCTGGTCCACACACATATAAATCACTGCAATGCTGCTACAGAACATGGCCCTCCCTGGAGCTGGGAGGTCTCAGAGCTGCATTTACCCCGCGCTGCTTCTTTCTCCATCTTTAGCATTGTCACCATCACTATTTTTCATCTTTATCGCGCCCTTCCACAGAGCCACTCAATAATGTACCCATTGTGCAAGTAATCTGAAATCCTTTTCGTCAAGCAGTAGTATTTAGTAGTAATAAAACACTAATTTGTCTACCAAGTGACATATTTATAGGAGCTGTTTACTTTGACATATTTTTATTATTTCTACTCATTTGCTAAGTACCTTCCAATACATATTTATGAAGCACATGCCTTTCCCCAAACAGCAGTCAAAGAATAAATCATATTATTTCCTTTATTAGCAACAGCATGACTTGTAAGTCCTAGTGCCCTGATTTGTTTTTGTTATCTCTGGCAAGAATCTCAAGAATTAATGGGGATTGGGCACCTACTATGCACCAGACTCTCTGTCAAATGCTCTTTACATAAATTATCTGCTTCATTCCCTGGAGACGTAT